CACTTTCCCAGAGCCATCGTGGGAGGCAGATTTATCTCAGAGCAAAACCACCGCTGTGTTTGCACAACACCTTTACCCATGGTGAATTTAACCATGGTTTGCTCACCAGTTCAAAGGACTGGATTTGCATCACATGCTTGTCTGGAAAGTAACAGTGCAGGTTGCCACTGCACAACCTACTAGGTTAAACCATGGTTGCTTTGTGTCTATACAGCTCAGTGTCTTGTGCAGGGCCAAGGGATGGTCCAAAGCCAACCAGCAGCTTGACAGCAGAGTTTTTAACCTGGTTCTCCTAACTTCTAATCCAACACAACAGACACTACACTGCAGTGGCTCTTACACTGGCAAAAGGCAGTGGCGTGGTTACAGCTAACCGTGGGACGCCTACAATTCTATCCCGGCACAGAATTGAGGAACTTGTGGTCCTCCAAATGTCGCTGAACCAGATCTTCTGTGATAAATGCTGAGGGACGCTGTGAACTATTTTGTTCGGTAACTTCTGGATAGTCACAGGTTCCCCAGCCCCAACCAACTCTTTGTCTTTCCCCAGCAATGGGCCAGAGACACCAGAGTTAAACTTTCCCATAACTATGAAAGTTACCAATTGCCACTGGGCCATCACTATGTCTCAGTATAACCAACTTCGCAAAACACTACTAGATTAAAAGGGGGAGGGGTGCATCTTTAGTGTGGGTCCCTAGAATACTCAAGGGTTACCTCAACCACCTTTACAACACCCCTTTCCATTATTATTCCCACGACACATAAGTAGGAGAGGATGAGAGCGCTTCTTGATTAAAATTGCTTGCTGGTGAATTTAGTTGGAGGATGGGCATATCATAGTTCACCACTTTACCTCCTCACTCAGTGACTTCACACAGTATGTGTTCATTTGACACTGATGAAGAATCATGGACACAGCCATTGAAAAATGGCATTGCTGGTTTGCTAAAGCAAAGATAAAGACTTTAGATTTGCAGAATCTACTTTGGGTTGTTGTTTTAAAGAAAATACCTAAGATCCACCAACCAGATCCAGGTCCAAAAGACATGCACTTCAAATGAAGAATTCCAAGTCCACAAATTGGTTACAGAACTGAATTCTGTTTAACTTCCTTCCACACAAAAAATGTGTTTCTGATTATTCCCAACCTTGTTCACTGCAGCACTGTAGTTTAAAGTACGTGGGAGTCATTTTGTTTCTGCAAATCAGAAATTCTTGTGGATCTGCTGCTAGTCACCCAGAGGTCCACTTAGACCATCCACTTCTCAAGCTGTAATGCCATTTCAAACATAATAATAATTTTCAGTGGAGATAAAGCATTGCAAACTTTCCTGGATGATCCAAAACTGCTCAAAGTGTGGTGAAGACAGCCTTCACTTCTCAGATCACTTCTTGCTCCCTTCTTCTTAGATATGAACAGTAACCACTATCTTTTCTAAGAACTGCCCGGTTTGAAAAGACTAGGATTCTAATCCTACATTTTGTTTTCAAAAGCAATCAGATCTTAAATCCAGAGAATCAGCAGTATACTCAGCAAGTGGGCATCGTATTCTGTATTTTTATTATCATCAAAAAAATTGTTTCTTTCACTTGACTTAAAAGTTGCAAACTGTATTCTTTTTATAAATCAGACTATAGCTGATTTAGCTTCCTAGCCTGACTTTCAGGAACAACTTTCTTCTTACACATAAATACTGCTGCTGTTCTAAACAGGAATTTAAATTGCTTACCTCCATTGGCCTTACTTCTGGAGCTCAAAAAACACTATGTTGTCAGCCAGATGTTCAGGTAAAAACAATTCCTTTCCACTCTTATGAACAGTAGCAATATTGCTGGCAAATCATATGTGATTTCATGAACTTGCTTTGTAAATGTTTGTTTTAGAATGCAGTAAATTTTACAAATCTAAAACTGTGTTCATTTTTAATTATCAATATATTCTGATTAAAAAGGTATCCCCAGTGGAAGAGTTCTTTGCTTTAAATGCAACAGGATTTGTTATTTTCTTTTTAAATTACTCTTCATTTCCATTCATTAAAAAATATACTTCTGGCTCACTCATCTTTGCAAAGTGTCACCTTAAGCTCAAGCATTGTTGTTGGGGTAGTTACGCACCATTGGTTATCATGATTACGCTCCTGCAAACATTTGCATACCCAGGAATGGTTTCCATGGTGAAAAAGAAACCTTGAAAAATTATCTATGAACTGCCCTTGCTGAATAGGTGTAGTGCTTTTCTCCTCAATAAATCTTCACAATAAATTCTATCCCTCAGATACTTGGGGTTGAAGTATAAGAACTGTCTCCATAATGGCCAAATTATGCGCAAAAATCATTGGAAATTCTTTTATATCTGGCCAGATATGGAGTGGGTTCGTGCATTATACGAAGCCATAATATATTTTGTTTAGTTTGGGCTTAGCATGCTGTGTAAACTCAGCCCGTGTGGTTTGCAACATAGGTATGCTTCAGTGTATGGTGGTATAACAAACCACAATAATTGTGCTTACACAACAAGCTAATCCCATTTTGGCTAATGTAATGTGTTAACCCAGACTGTTATCTATTTTGCTCAGCGCTGTCTTTCCTGACTTGAAATGGTACTCTTGAATCTCAGGTGCATATACTGTTTTTCCTATCTGTTGCTCTCTGCTCATTTTTGCCTCGGTTGCGGCTTGGCCCTTTCTTCATGCCAGACCTATGCTCTGCCCTAAGTTATGGCTTTGTTTTTGACACTTCAAGCACTGAAACAAGGTACAGTCCTGTAAATAGTCTGTGAGCACTGCCTAAGCACACGAGTCACGCTGTGGGTAGCTATGCTGTTAGCATGCCTAGCTAACCAGAAGAATTTGGTTAACTAGGACCAAACTAAATGGTGGACCAATCACGTGGAAGAAAACTCAAGCGCTTCTTCAACAGTTAAGCAGTTTGGTGGGTGCCTATGGGTGGGGGGGCTGGGGAGAGAACAAACTGGAGACAGAACAGAGGGAAGAGGTATTTGAGCCTTCTCCCACCAGCCATTTCTGGGCTCCAGCTCTTTCCCCCAAAATCATTTTCTTCCCCATCACCATTAGACTCCAAGGATGGAGAGAAATAATCTCACCCATGCAGTCCAATTCCCGGAATTGGGAAAACAGCTGGCGGGGGATCTGCAGTAAAGAAGTACCAAACAAGGGGGAAGAAAAGCCTTTCTGTTTTGCTTCCAAAATACTCATTTGAGATTATTTATGTCTCTTCCAGATACTGGGAGGAGATTCTTTTTAATATGCATTGGTGTGAAATGTTAGATCTACCTTTCCTCACACTTTTTTTTTCCGGATACTGAATGAACACTAAATCCACCTTCAGATCACTCTTCTTGTAATTTTTTCAACAGGACTTCAGTTTCCCACCTTCCCTTGGATCATACGGCTTTATCTAAATCCTGAAGGACTTAAAACTATTCTGCTTGAAGCATCCAACTTTAGTTCAGCTAAAAGAACAGCCAGGTCAAGACTCAGAGGTGAGATCAGCTCTCTCCTAAAAATCCAGCTTTTCAGATGCTTGATTACCCCCTCTTCCAAAACAGAAAGGTATTTTTCTTAATGAGTGTAATCAATAAACTTAAGGATGCTGTCAAGGGATAGGGGAAGCACACACACACAGCTGAATGAAAAAAGCAAAACAAAACCCAGCATTAAATCACATCAGATTGCATACTGCTTAAAGGGAGAGAAACAGGTTCCAGATCCACTCAGTCACGAGCTCACTGCATGGTCTGAGACCAGTCATGATCTCAGCTCAATCTACCTCACAGGGTTGTTGTTGGAGGGGATAACATGAGGAAAAGCCTTCAAGCATGCCATCTTGAGCTTTCAAAGTACAGGCAGGATATAAAGGCAACAGATATATAAATAATAAATAAATATAGGTTGTAACAAATGTAGGTTTCATCTGATATTAAAGATGCAGGAAGCACAAAGAAATATTGCTTGCTGAGCATCATGGGTGAAGAAAGAGCTTCAAGCCAGCTCAAAATTATACTTCTGTATTCCGTGTTAATTAATCCGCGGCAATTTTTAGTTTCCTATTCAGAACTACAACAGGCTTCACCTTTTCATTCATATAAGCATGCTCTGAAAAAAAAAAAAGAGAGAGAGAAGGGAATCCATTTCTTTGGCTATTTTGATGAAAGAGCAGAACTGCAACCATCCGTTTGAGCCAGTTCCATCAGCAGCCCTTACTTACGAGTAAACATGGTTAAGCTTTAGCGGTAAACTGCCCCAAGATAATAACTCCCTTCGATCCCCTCGGGAGTTAATGGTTTCTTACAACAGCCGAGCCTCCAACACCCGCCCCGCGTCTCCATTCTGCCCCACTGATGTCCCACAGCTCTTGTCCAGTGCTGGTGTCAGTCCTTGAAGGTGACCGGGGGGGGGGGTGGATCGCTTTCCCATAGCTGCCCTCCCCACCACAAGGCAGCACAATGCCCACCCCTTTGCAATCGCCAGAAGACCGCGCTACCTCCCCCCCGCTCTCCCCTCTGCCCGGGAAAATCGCGCAGGAGCTCAGCTCACCATGGCGCAGACAGCCGGACGCACAGACGGGACGGGCTCGCCTGATCTGTCGCTGCCGCCTCCAGTCGAGACGCCGCGCGTTGCGCCCCCTCCCCGCCTCGGCCTGCTAGCCCAGCCTGGAGCCACCCCCTGGCAGAAATCCCGGCCCCCGACGCCGCGGCTGCCTGCAGCTGCAGTCCCCGCCGGAGCCCGGGCAAGGGCACGTGGAGACGCGACTGCGGCAGCGCTGAGTGAATGGGGAAGGGAGAGGAGGGGGAACCAGACTCGGCCGTCGCCTCTGTTCTCCGCCTCCTACAAGTACCCTTGAGAGGAGAGCCGCGAGTCCTTCGGGAAGATCTCAGCTCGATTGGGAGCCCCACTCGAGACGGTTCAGTCGCCGCCCCACATTGCGTCGGGTGTAGTTAGGAGAGTGCCTCTGAGCTTGTGCAGAGTGCATTTCTCTCGGATCAGAGTCAACGATGGCTCACACTTCTGTGTTTGGCAAGCAAGGACAAAAGGCTTGCACCACGCCAGGCCGACTAAATCCTGCCAATTTTTTGTAACCAAAACTTTACTGTATTTACTTTCTCTTTCAGAGAAAAACCAAAAAAACGGTTTAAGTCAGTCTTATCAGTGTGGTAAATCAGAGTCAGTGTGGTGCAGCGGCTAGAGGGTTGAATTAGGAGGAGGAGACCAAATCCCCACCTTGTTGCAGCCATTGGCTGGGCTCTCACAACACCCTTAACCTGGTTACTTAATCCGTTTCGTGGGTTTCTGCAATGAATCATAACTTAACCAAACCTAATCTGGGTACTTAAAATACCTTAAGACAGTACACACACACACAACCCCTCTAAAGCAGCAGCCAGGCCTTTATTTCAGTGGGTTGAGTATGCTGTGTGAACAAAACCCTTAGGTCAAACTACAATTCACTTGGTGGTGGTTTAGATGTTGTGTGAACCCAATCATTCTGGTTTCTAAACCACTGTTCAGTGTGTGGTGTAAACAGTTTTTCAGTGAATATCAGCAAATCGTGATGTAAAATCGCATGTAACAAAGCCAGTATCTCTCAGTCTAATCTAATTTGCAAAATTGTTGGGTGGATATAGCAGAGAGTGGAATCATGTACTCTGTATTTAGTTCTTAGAAGAAAGGTGAAATATAAATGTTTTTTAAATAGTTTTTATTTAAAAATGTTACATAGATAATAAGAAATACATTCAAAGAAAGAAAAAAATATAGTAGAATAAATGTGAAAAAGAAAAAGGAAGAGAAAACACGGAAAAAATGTGTAAAGTGGCTTCTGATCTTCCTCTCGACAGTTATATATACAATTCTAATCAAACCTCTCTTTCCATCATAATTCCCTTCTTTTTATAACCTATTCTTTCTAATCATCAAAACCATAAGTCACAAAATCATTTGCTTTTTAATGCAAAAAGTCCATAAGGGGTTTCCAGTCATTGATGAATGTCAATAATAACCTTTCTCTAATCAAAGGAGTCAGTTTATTCATCTCAGCAAGTTCTGTTAATTTCACCGACCATTCCTCCATAGTGGCCTATGCCAAATGTTTCCATCTTGATGAAATATAAATGTAATCATAGAAAAATGTTCTTAAGTGGAGCTGGTTTGGAAATTGCTGGTTCCCATTGCTTGAATTATGCCAGAGGTGGCTGTCTCCTTGGTTACTGTTGTTAAAAGACTGGGCAGCATGCAAAAAAGGACAAGTTGCTGCACCTTTCATGGTCGTGTAAAAAAACAATTTCAGCAAGAGAAATTGAGGTTGATGCCAGAGTGTGCAGGCCAAGGTCTTCTAAGCACTAAGAAGCGTGCTGGGGGCCATACTCCTAAACAAAATTGTAATTGGATTTCTTTTAAAATGCAATTCCAAGAATATGACTACTCCCATGATCATGTAATCACGTCTCCCATTTATCAGTTTCAGCGCTAAAACTTGGACAATGATGTTTGGAGGCAGTCATGGAGGTCGCATCCTCAGCTTGGCAGGTCTTCTATGGTGCTGGGGCCAAAGACTTTACACCCCTACTCAAATACTAAGCCTGTCTGGTACACTTTAGGGCAGTGTTTCTCTACCTTGGGAATTTTAAGAAATGTGGACTTCAACTCACAGAATTCCCCAGCCAGCATGCTGGCTGGGGAATTCTGCGAGTTGAAGTCCACACTTCTTAAAGTTCCCAAAGTTGAGAAACACTGCCTTAGGGTATGATCTTCAAACAACCAAAGCAGTGATTCCCAAAATGCTATCAGGAACCAGCAGTCTGTGGAAGTCCACCAGATGGTTGGCTTGCTCACTACTTGAGTCCCACCTCCCTGCACATGCCAAGAATCAGCTGGATAGGACCCATCCACAAGGGTGTCAGGATCAAAAAGTCAAGACTTCAGTCAAAGTCCTCCCTCCTTTTTAGGTGTACAGTATTCAACAGTGCAGTTGCAACCCCCATGTAGACTTTTGGGCCACCCCTATGGATCCCCCTCAGTCCCTGCCTCCCCATGTGCCCCAGCACTCAAATGGTTTATGAAAATGGATCAATGGCTTAAAAAGTGGTTTACTGAAGCAGAGAAGTGCAAGTAGCAACATTACTAACACTCAGAGAACTGACAGTACTGAACAGACCTTGAGTGTGAGTCTCCATGTGTTGTCCCAAGTATAATCCCATACAACAATTCCAAAAGAAAAGTAACAATAGGAGATACTGTGATGAATATCTAAAAATGGGATTTCATGAGGAATGGAGATCTCTTCCTCCAAGGCTTTTAGTGCTCAGAGATTTCCACTAGAACCTTGTTTGCCAGCAAATCTGGACTAAGAATTGTTGTTTATTATGGTGTGGAGTACATAAAATAATTCAAGTGGTAAATAAATAATTTTCAATGAATGGTTTAGTACAAAATTTAGTTTTGAATGTTCTTTAAAAATGGAGAAGATGGGAATGCAGAAATGCAACCATAATCGTTACTTATTTGTGAAAAAAGAATCGTATGTTCTTAAAGGCAAAAATGTGTGGGAAGGTGTTTGTTTCATTGTCTGGTACCTGCCTTTTCTGAATGAATAGTCCATGATGATATAATGTTTGAGATATAGTTGGGTGACTTTGATGGACATTTACAAATACACAATATCTGATATTAATTAAACCAGAAAACCAACTATTCATAGCTAGGTGACAGATGAAGGCAGGGGGGTTCATGTAACTTGGCATTTTGGTTCTAAGAGTTGCCAGCTGCTTTTCTCCAGGGTGCCTATAAATCTCCTTTTTCTTTATTCTAAATATTTGGCAGAGACATACATCCTCTGAACATGGAAGCTCATTTGCACATTGGAAAACAGAAGATAAGGTACTAACAAACAGAAGAATTTGATACAGAGAGAGGTAAAATTCCAAAGTGCTTCTAGGTGATTTATTTCTGTTAAGCGATTGTTATCCAATAAAGTGAATTAACTTCTGCAGCAGTTTTTAATCTTTTTAACCTGTCCGATCTGTGAGTAAAATAGTTTTTCTTTGTCAGTCCAGAACCACAATAACCTACATAGCTATGGGATAAATGCTAGGAGTTCTAAATTCGTTTTGTTCCCCAATTTCTAGAAATTAACTGCGGGCCACACACAGACATTCATATAGACCAACCCTGTTTCAGCAATACTTCATATGTCAATAGGAGGGAGGGGCTACTTTCTTCAAGGTTTTTCTTTTAGCCTCTGTTTGGATTCCAGGAAAAAAAATTAAAAAGCAAACTAACTAAACTTTCCAGCCTATTTGGTTCCAGCTGGGCTAAGCCCGAAATGAAAGAAGGATAGGGTGGAATAAGGATTTTTATACTCGAGAAGCTGGCAGTTGCAGAGAAAGTCAAATGACTTTGCTTTCATCAGCTTCCAGATTTTCAGCCAGAAGAACAAATAAGTTTAAGGACTATTTTTTTTTCATTAAAATCTTATAGCCAGGGAAGTCAGACAGTGAGATAAAGTCAGCTTTTTGCCAACCCAGTTGGGCCTCCTAGCCTCCCCTTCCCCCCTCCTACAGCCTCCGTTGTCTGTCCACTCATTTCCTGCCAGTGACATGTAGCCCCTTCTGTACGTAGAAGCTTTTGCCCTGGCTCCCCTTAAAAAACATTGGTTCCCCTGGTCCCTGTCACCTCCATCCCTCTGGACTGGTGCCACTTACATCCATTCTTCCCTTCATCTTAAGGAATAAGGAAGAAGCTGTTTCTGCAAGCAGTATGAATAACAGGGTCTATGAAAATCACATTGTCAGGACCTAAATATGATTGCTGTCATGAGGGGTTGTAGCAATCTAATGTGCACTAAAATTTTTGTGGTTGTTTTTCTTTTGCTTGCCTTCCCCTTCAAGAGGATGAGTTAATTTTACTTACTCTGCACTTTGGATGTTTACTGTATTCATATTTCCACTTGCTATTCACTGCTTGCTTTAATAACATTTGTTTAGAAAGGGGAAAAAAAATAGATCCAATTTTTTTTTCCTGCAGTGGAATCCAGGGCAGCCTACAAGCTGAAAATCTGGCCGGGTACTGACTGCGCTATGCTCTGTTTAGCCCCAGCAAGGCTGCTGTGGTAAATGCCTTCACAAGGATGTGTCATGTGCATCGTTGTGTCCTTCACATTCAGTTCCCTGAACTACCTGTTCCTCTGAGCGTACTTAAACTGCTTTTCCTTACTCTTCTGAGTCACTACAGCAGCAACAAGCCATCAGGATGAGAGAAAACATCTTGACATAGTAGGTGGTAAGCTCCAGCATGTTTAAGTTCAGGAATTAAGGCTTCTTCCAGAGTTGCTTTCCATTCTAACTTGCTCCCAGGGGAAGATTCCTCCTAGACTCTGCATCTTTTCCTGGTAAACCTTGTCAAAGGATTCAGACTGTGCCACGGTAAAATGAGACTTCCAGTCTCCACAAATACCTGGAAAATATGATTGAAGACCACACACACACACACACACATATACAGTTGGACTAAATGAAAATGTTCTTGGTCCACAGAAACCTGAAGCTCTTCATAAAGGTCCTTCAAATTGAGTTACACTTGTGATGGCTATATGGGGATGTTCATGTAGTCTCCTTGGCAACAAAACAAAACAGTTTGCCTGCCTTCTTGTGAGATGTTTTGTTGACTTCCCACTAACCTATAAGACTGCTTCATAAGCATCTCCAGAAATAAGTTGTATTCTAAAATTTGGTTTCCACCACATGCAAGGCTAAATGTGGTTGGTTAGTTTGTGGCTTAGTATGCTGTACAAATCCAGCCTGTAGAGTTAATTTATGGTTCAATGTATTAAGGGAACCTAGGAAATGAGTTAATTCACTAAACCATGGTTCAGTTAACCCTGGATTAGTGTGCTATGTAAACACAGCCTAAACCTGATCCAAAAGCTGAGCTTGGTAGACCAGAACAAAGCATTTCCTTGCCAGCTTTCCTGCAAACAAATGAAATATATTGTGCAAAACCACCACCCCAAACTTTGAGGATGCCAATGAAATTCTTTATGATGCTTCAAATTAATGGGAAATTGAGCAGTTCAAAGGTGGGAGGTCAGAAATCAAAACAGAGGGGGGAACATGAGCCTGTCTATTACTTTTATAGAGCTAGGGAGTCAGAGATTTTACTTGGACACCTTGTTTAGCATTAGACAGTGCCCAACCAGCCAAAATCTGAAACTGCTGAATTGGCTTGTTATGTCATTTGCTGCCTTGTTATCGCTTATCCTGTATATTTGCAGCAAATATTACAGTGCTATTCCCCACCTAGTCCTTGATGGTTGCAGTTACGTCAACTAATCTGGCCTCCATTACTTAGTTTGGCATTCATAAAGACAAATATTTTTGGGTGATACATCTCTCCTGTTTTTGCTGACATGGTAAAGATTGTACAGTGATGGTACATCCTCTCCCTGCTCTTCTTTCACCTAAATCTAATGCACTATGATATCCAGAACAGGATAGATAAATCAGTATCCTTCCGAGGTTACAAACTTCAACTCCCATCAGCTGGGTATAGCCAATGAAAAGACAGAGTCCCAAAGCACTGGAAGGTACCAGGCTATCTACTCCAAATATTCATACACAAGGGACATGCAACTCACTGCTGTGCCCCACCCCCCACCCCCAAATATCCTGAACATTTTGCTGCTTAATTGTTATATTATATTACAGCTCTGCCTCTGTTGGCACTGTGGTTTGGTACTGGTAACTGCAGGAAAATATACACAATTGTTGGTTACTAGCCTGGCATGCTTCTGCTCATGTTCCTTCTCCAGTTCTTAAGTTATAGAGAACCCACAAGTACATAACTTCTATAGCCTTTTCTCACCCTTCCTGAGGAAGGTCCCCTTCTCTTGGTCCATAACATCCTTAGGGAGCATTGTTGAGTTGCACATGTTGTTCTTCCTCATGGCTTCAAAGGAGGCATTTTCCATCACTGAGGTGACAGCTGCCTTATCCAGGTTCTTCCCCAGGAAATGGCAAAGGTGTTCCACACTGCCACGTAGATCCTGAGAGGAAGCAAGACAGGAAAGAAAACTAGACAGCAGGAAAATGGCTGACATTCTTGGAAGTCTCATATCTAGAAATTTGATTTTTTTTAAATGAAACTAGATATTTTCTGGATGATGAAGTTTGCACTCATTATTAACAACTGCATTGTATGGATGTAAAATTACACAAATTTACTTATCCTGAAAGTAAGAGCTTGGAAGACTAACACTGACTTATTAGATCAATGGTCCATCTTGATCTAAGACAACTTCCTATGTTTTCCTGTTTAAATACTGAAATCTCTCCTTTCCAGGAAAACATTTTAGAATTCTGTTTCTCACTTTGATAAAATATATCTGGTTGGTTGTGTCAGTTAATGAACCAACTAAATAGGTTTGTATACAGTACTTTCTTCATCATTTCCACTAGGGAGATAACTTCAGATCAGGAGATCAAAACCTGAAGCCCAGAGCCATGCATCTATCCTTTTCCACCCAAAAACCTTGATTGTGGTCCTAAATATTTCATTATAACTATTAATCAGAGAGACAGGAGAAACTATAAAAACTGTTGATTATAAAGCTGTAGTTATTAATCACATTTAAATTACATTTACAAGTACATTAAATATTAAATGCACTATCCACTTTTGTGCCTTCTCCTCTCTATTTTTTGGGAGTGAGGCTCCCAGTCTGGTATTTAAACTATTACCCTTGCCTTAAAAATGCTGCTTGATCCTTCTTTAAACCATCAAAAACGGGAATTGCCCCATACAATCACCTGTTTCATTTCTTCATAGCTAATGAAGAAGATACTGAGTTTTCCTTTCTGCTCCATCCAGCCTGTAATGTGATCAAACCAGGATCCAAATAGTACTGCAGAGAGGAAGACACTGTCACAAGGTAGGACCTACAGAATGGCTTTGCTCCTAGTTTCCTTTTCACAAGTTGCAAGAGTGGAAAATGCGTAGACTAAGATCCTGCTTGGTAACCTTCCTCCCAATACAGTACCATCCTTGACCTTCATGCACAGAGCTAAAAGACTGAAATATGAGTCCTATGCTCATGTGTCACAGCAGGTGGCAGCACCTAGCAAAGCTTGGCTGATCTCAGAAAGAGTCAGACCTGGTGGTACTTGGAAGGGAGACCACCACAAAATCCCATGCTATACATCCTTTTCTTTTTATAAGTCTGCAGTTGTACACAAGTAAGTGCACTGCAGGATGGAAACCTGCTCTTACTCTACAGACGGAGAGAAGGCATGAAAGATGCTACTGTATTACCAGGGTCAGTTTTTAAAGAGATTGATTCAATAGAAATATATAAATGAGAAATCTAACAGGTCTATTTTTTCTTACACCTGCAGCAATATGATAGGAAAAGTTGCATCTGACAAAATTCTTCTGGAAAAAAATCTTTAAGATACAGGAAGCCTCTAAGGACATTTCCTCGCTTCTCAGTTATGGTATCTACTCTTCCTTGAGTTGACAGAAAACTGGACTGGATGAAATTCGCTTGCCTTATTTCCAGTTCTTCCCCACCTCTATTGCCTTGGTTGTAACTCAAGGCAATCACTTCATTGTCCTTAGGCTGCCCTTGGATATGGTGAGAATACTACTTTAACACCTGTACAGCTAAGGTAGTTTAAGCCTGTCTCATTCATATACTGAGGACAACACGAAGACAATGTCATGGGAACACTACAGAAAAAAAAGAAAGAAATTGCCAAGACGTGTTTGCACCATGGTTAAACACAAGTGGAGACCTAGGCTAAAATGGCCTGCCTTGATCATATTGGCTAGGAACTCTTGGATTTGCAATCCCATCACATTTGAGGGACCTTGACTGGGGAAGCCCTGGCTAGGGAAGGCTCACTTCAGGAATCTAAGCCACCCATGCTCTTGGGGAAGTTGGAAATGATGTCTCTTCTTAAGTCTACACTTAAGAAGACAAGATAAAGGAGACATTTGTCCTAGGTGCTGAATATTAGCTTTTTCTCCCCTCCAGTTTCAGGACTACTACATCCAAGCAACACTAGAGCTGTGAGGAGGCCTCTATTTGGCCTGTATGGAAAAGAACCTGGACTTGGTTAGAACAATCAGGAACAACTTAATGAAATCCACTGTAAAACTCATTTAGTTTAATGCCCTGACTCCAAGTTTTTCCAAGCAGATGCCTCTGAAAAAAATGTACAAATAAACGAAGTAAGCCATTTCCAGAGAAATTCCATTTTAGCTGCTGTAGCTTAAAACCACACAATCAATTTTTCTCCGTCTCAGTCTTTATTCAAAAGCCCCATGAAGTAGGGAACTATCAATGTTTCTTGTGGTAATTATTATAATTTGATCTCCTTCAAGGTCTATTACATGTTCCATCTTCTTCTCCATTTATTCTGTTTTTCCAACTCACCATTCCCATTCAGGAAATTCACAAAGAAGTGGTCAAAGGATAGAGGATCCCCAAAAGGGACACACATCTTGGAGAAATGATAGTAGGAAACAAGCACATCTCGGGGGTCTCGCAATGTGTATATCACCTGGAGGGGGAAAAAACCGTGTTAAAGCAATGGAAGATATTCTCAGAGACTTGGTTATGTAGATATTTAGTTATTTATTATTCAGTTTGTACCCTGCTTTACCTGTTTGTATTAAATACTCAGGACTGCAAACAATTAATAAAATGGTTACCTTAAAGAGTCAGAGAGAGGAATGGGCAACATGAGATGCTGTGGAACTCGAGTTTCCCAACTCTCTAGCCAGGCTGGCCAGTAATGGGAGCTGGTGTCCAACAACATTTGGAAGACCACAGATTGCCTTGTTCTACATATATGTCATAAAATGAAATTGGGAACTTTGCAAGTTTTACTCCTAAAATATCTTCAGAGAAATAGTCTTGGGGCACAAATAATAATTAGAAGACTGAAAAAGTAAAATTGGTTATATAGTCCAAGAGAAACATGACAATGCTATCTTTGGCCTGTGCTTAAGCAAACACAGAAGATTGACAGATGCCAGGCAAAGCTACTCATATGGCAGAAGGGAATGGATGGGGAGCGGTTGTGTGTGTGTTTTGTGTGTATGTGTATTTTTGCGTCCCTGCATGAAAACACAGGTGTATGCACATATTATATCTACATAATGCACATATGTACATGCTTACATTTCTATCTCCATTGTGTCAGAAACCAAGGTAGCCTTGAGGTTGAAACAGTTACCTATCCTTGAGTTGTCAATGTTTATTTATACCACCAAATCCACACGGATTCATGGCTGTTTATATACTGTATAGTCCAATGACAAACCATGAAACTCAACAACACATCTAATTAATACAATTTTTGTAAGTCATGCTCATGTAATTTAGTCTTGGTACATCCACAGGATGTGTGCTTGCAATTCAGATAGGTTTGCAATTTAGTGTAATTAAAATTGAGACTAATTTTAATCATACTGAATGCTCAAACCTGTTTTATAACCGTCACTATAATTATGCAACGCAACTGAATGATTATGTGTTACTGTAAAAAAAACGGCATGGCCAAAAGTTATAAGTTAGCTAGTAAGAGGCAAAAAGTTGAGCGGCCAAGACAAACACCACCAAGAAAATATGAGCTGTTCTCCATATTAGAGGCCCTTTCCTTCGCAGATAAGCACTAAGCACCCATGGTTAATGTCTCATTTCCCACCTTGGCTTTGGAGCTGAAGAAAGCTTTGGGGAACATCTGGATGGGGAGATGGCAGGTGAGCAGACGAGGAGATGGTAGGTTATGTGCTGTCTCCAGGCCAAGGCAGGTTGTGAACCAGGGAGCTCGAAGGGAATTGAGGACATTTTGATTCCAGGTTGGGTTACCTCCATTGAGAATCAAGCTTAGAATCTCAGTCATCCACACTGTTCCTTGATGGAAGGGGAGGAAAGAAGAAATCTGCAGGTTTAAGAGGCTGGCAGCACAGTCCTATAAATGTTCTTCTCTAACATACATGGAGCTTATTCTCAAATGTATGGATTTTGGACTGCAGTCTGACATTTTCCAAAATTCAAAATCAAGCAATATTCCAGTCCCTTTTTAAATTTTGACTTTCTTAAGTCTCATTTCTGAACATGTTTTAAAATTTCAATTTGTACAAAATTTATCATCTTAAATCTTTCCTCTTAGTGTTAAATGATTAAATATCCGTACCTGAATTCAGTTACATTTATTCCTTCTCTCTCCCTGAAAACTAGCAATTAGGGAACGCTAGGTGATGGATCAAACTAGAACCATATAAAATAATCAGCGACCATATCTGTATACTATATTGAACCCAGTCAGCCACTAACCCACCTACCTACCAATGCTTTGGCAGAATATGATCTAATAGGGTGAAAGCTGCCATTTTAGGGAATGCAGTGTTCATACCTCCAAAAACTAACTGGTATCCAGTAGCATCCATTACAAGCCTCAATTACATCATCAAAACTACATGTGTGTCATGAGATCGTCACACAGTGATGTGACTTCCATTATTCTGATTCACCTCAGACATAAATATATAAGCTGAAGCATATGGTTATGACTTCATGACACACGTCTTCATTTGTCTCCCTTGCCCTCCTCCAGATGCCTGTGCTGATAATCCCATGAGCTCTTCCACCAGGACAATATTGGCAGGGAATACCACTCATCCTTTCCCTATTGGCCAGTGGGCTTGGCTTGGGTGCCACAGTGCTAGGGAGGTATAGTCTCTGGTTGGCAGGACTCTAGCTTTCAGTCCCACTCCATCTGCAGCAGTTTTTCATGGATTCAAATTAATTAGGGCTTTAGAACTGCCCTGCGTTTGACTGGATTTTGGTATTTGCATATCACGGCTCAGCAGATGAGGATAGTTTAACTCAAAGCAAATCCAGGCCAGTTCTGTATAAAAACTAACCCTCTTCTGCTCCACTGCTGATTGGGTTATAGTGTTTATAAAAACCCACCATTAATCCGATTAAGTATACTGTGGGAATCCAGGCTATATTTTTTTGCATGCAAGTTTAAATTTGGAAAACTTGTTTGAAAATTTCCCCTTAAGTGTACTTCAGTTGCATAGCATCTATTTAAACGACACCCACATCAACATAAGAAAACAGTATGAAAGTACATCTCTAGTCCATTGCAAGGAGTGGACATCTCCAGCCCATGGGCCTGATCCAGACTACCTAGCCATCCTGTTTGATCAGCAGTGCCTTAAGGAAATCTCCCGTCTCATGACAGCATCTTGCTGGCTTCCCTTCTGGGCTCATGTGTGAGGTGAACCCAGCATCTGCACTTGTAGGCCATCCAGTTAGAGCACCCACAATGCCAGTTCTGTCATGAACTAAATTGGTAGATAGAGAATGAGTTGCCTTACGTAAATCCCCCCCCCCCACTATATCATCTGGCTCCCAGGACTTTGAAATGTTGGGCAATCCAGCAGCGAGCTGGATTATGATCTTCATTGATGGTATATTGAGAAAAAAGCCAGGGTTTTATCTAGAACATGTCTGACTTGGCTATGCACCAATGTTTTAAATCAAAGGGGCACAGTCTTAAGCTTGTGCACCATATACAGTTTCTAAAATGTTAGACTAGTTTACAAAACCCTTCCAGTGACTGCCACACAAATTTGTAGTTTATAATTTGATGGAAAAGGAAAATTACTAAATGCACAAGAAGTAATCATATTAATTTCAGTTAAATTAAAGTTAATCTACATTTAAGTGACTTGAAGTCAAATTTAATTTTTGTCCTGGCCCCACCTCCTTTTTGAAATATGGTTCCTGGCACACTACTCCAAGATCACATGTGGCCCTCAGGCCAGAAAAAAAAAAATGCAACCCTAAATATTTGGAACAGATCCAAATCAAGATTGTGCACTGTACCATTCCAAAGAAATGCAGGTGTAGGCATCTGATAGAAGCCAGAACGATAGCACATGCATTATGACATCAGTATCAAATGTCTTGAATAATGCAACTTGCATCAGTTGTGATATATCATGATATGCATAAGGTGGTATATGTCATTCATGTCATTTGTGTGATGTCACAATGCGTGGGACTTTACTTGTCCCTCTTGTGTCCCCCTGCAGATGACCAGGAGTGCAGAATGTGCCCTTTGATTTCAAATCCTAATCCAATCCCTTAACCAGTTCCTTCTCCTACCAGACTTTGGGTATGTGACATTAAAGATATCATCATCTCGCACTTGAAACTTCTCTTCAGCAAAGCAAAGGCTCTCCACAGAATTATATCCAGGGGGAAATGTTATCCCCTTATATTCAATGCATCGGGAAGCCATCTCCTGTGAAGTGAAAAAAGAACTCATAAGAACTACCACTGCAATTGTCATATTTGAAGTCATATACAGTGGGTCAAATTTAGGGAACTGAGTTGCTGGGTTCACACATCGCACAAAATCATATCTTGTTCAACCACAAGTTATTGAATCAACTTTATTTGGTTGGGTCCACACAATAAGGTAACTACAATGAATGGGCTTAGCCCAACACACTAAACCAAAACAATATTAAGTATTAGTATATTATGTGAAAATGCCAGAATGTCTACAACTATAGCAGTTTGGGGTGAGTGATCAGAAATGTGCCCCTGGGAAACTCTTGCCCAAGACAAGAATTGCAAGTCTCCTTCCACCAAAAAGACGGGACAAGTCACAAAAGCTTTGGAATCATGCTTGCACAAGAGTATGTGCAAGAATGAAAACAGTTGTTGTTACACTAAGCTGCCAAGGGTCTGCAGCTGTTGTCTCCGTCCTCTTCTGCTTCATCTGCACAGGAGTCAGAACATAATCATGTCAGTGTTTATACTATTTTTCTCTGATCTCTCCCTTTATAGTTCGCCTCTTTCAAGTTATGTACTTTATCCTGAGTCCGTGCCTGTGACAAAATGGTCTGTATTCTCAATAGTAAATACTATTGCCTGCAAGACGTTTTACAGTATTTTTAAGATAAGTGGTGCATTTCCCAGAAACATGCTTATTTGTAAAGCAAGAAGCAGTACAAAAACCACGCAAAATGGTGTCTCTCACTTTTTTCATCTTGACTTAAATGCATGTATAAATATATTTAATATCAAAAAGTACATTTTTTTGCCTCATACTTTATAGCCATTTTCTGTGTTTCACTTCTTGGTATTTATATACCCATACATGCACAAAAAGCTATGGAATAACATCACCATTGTTCCTTATTTTTCCTTATCTTCCTAACCGGTAGAAGGGAGAACCTACCTTTTTAAAGTGAAAAATGGAAGTCAAGAGGGGGATTTAGAATATCCAGTTGAGGCAGATGGCTCTTATGGCAGTGGTGGGCAACTTTGTCTTCAGCCAGGGAGCGCACATTTTCCTTACTGTTTTCCGATTCCAAAGGCTGCAGTGTGCCTGGTATCACCAGAAAGTCAGAGCTAAAATGACACAGTATTCAATTTGTGCTGTGGAAAATTGTCATATTGATGGTGGATTTTGGTGGCTTGGTTCTGGGAACCCCAGTGGTTCAAAAATTAGTTGGGAGTTGCATGAAGTCTGCGAATCACAGGTACCTGCTTTTGCCTTAAAGCTATGACCCTTTGTCTTACATGTTGTATGTCACAGGCATGCAGAACTGTGGAATATGAACAGATTGTGAGTGGGCCTTAATCATGGGTTGTATTCATGCTTTATACAGCTGGCTGGGGAATTCTGAGAGTTGAAGTCCACACATCATAAAGTTGCCAAGTTTGAAAAACACTGCTTCATACTATTCATGAAAAATATAGAAGGCCAAAGCTATCTCTTTGGCCTGACATTACAGAAGGAGGAGGAAATATAAGGGATTGTGGACCAACCCATACACACAAAAAGGCAGAAATTAAAGAAAGTAAGGAGTAAACTAAACTGATGTCACACACACATACATCAGCCAAGCACATATATGTGTTTATACACTCACCTGTATAAAATGTCTCTTCCTGGGATGTGGAGGGAGAAACTGCCATACCAAGAGACTTATCAAAGGAAGCAGCTTCAAAGGCTAATGATTAACTAAATACTTTGCCCAGAGTGCATTCAGCCTAGCTGGCCTAGTTTGAACAAAAATAAAACAAAGCAAAATAAAGAAAATGCGTGGGTGGAAGAAACATGCATCAGATGTTTTGAATCCCAACTGTAGGCATGGCTTGCTGAAAGTGTTGTTTTGTCTCGCCCTCTATAGCTAGAACTTGTGTTATTGTTAAGACCATTGCCTGGCCTTCCCGCCCCAATCCTTCCTTATCCACCTACTTAATTCTCCCTTTACTCAACAGTGTACAATTTTCCAATTTCCTAAAAAAACAGGTACTGGACACAGAATTGGAGAGATCAAGAGAGTTGAATGTTTTTAGCTAGATCCAGACATTGCTCAGTAGGGAATTGTCTGCCACAGATATGACACTTGTTCGCTTCTACTTAGGTTTGCATTTTTGTAAATACAGCCAATAACTCAAGGGCTTCAAGGACATCTTATGGATGTCTTCCCAGAGGTCCTACTGAATTTAATAAAATGTACTCTTTGGTCAATGGGAGTGGAGAGGAGATAAGATTGTAACCTCAGATTTGTGTCACACATCCTGCTAAGCTACTTTGTTCAGTCATGATTTCTTAAATACATAGATTTGCTAGGTTTACACAACCTGCTGATCCATAAACTATGGTTTACAAACCACAATTAATAGGTTCCATGATAAGTCAAAAACAGATAAAACATGTAAGTGCTTAGTCTCTAAAAGCCGTTTCATCCAAAAGACACAAAAACTAGTAGAAGCAGCAATTGTAACAATGTGCAATTGTAACAATGCACCATAACTATTGGAGGGACATAATTTATTTTCAGCATGCATATCACATATCAGACCTATCCTTCCAGTCGGGAGGGAAGAATTTCCAAATGGCTTTGTGAATGTCAGTCTGCAAGGAACAGCTTTGTAGTTGTCCTCCTATAAGTAAGATTTAAGAAAGTATTTCCCACTTAGCCAAGACACTTTTTGCCTTTGTGACTTTACACCCACATGCATAAAGGAAACGAAGAAGAAGAAGAAGAAGAAGAAGAAGAAGAAGAAGAAGAAGAAGAAGAAGAAGAAGAAGAAGAAGAAGAAGAAGAAGAAGAAGAAGAAGAAGAAGAAGA